GACCTTTTCTCCCTTAGAGACGGCTTTACAGAGGGACCAAGGTGCTGGAGACCCTGATGGAGGACCATCTCAGCCATCCTTCCATCCTTCAGCAGGAGGAGGCGGGGCTTAAAGACATCAACAGATCAGAGCTCAGAATAATCCCCTCTGATTGGTTAATCAACACATCAGTAGGGGACCAGCTGCTCACATGTTGCTTTGACTGAACCTGATTCTGAAGAAATGAACTCTGAGTTATTATTTTAATATTTGAGATTATTCTTTTTCCTCATAATGAGGTTAATAATTTAACTTATACTTTATAGAGATGAAAGATTCTGTTGTTTCCAGGGAAACAAAAAGGGTGATAATGATAAGAATTAATAATTATTATTTTATTCTTTTAAAATTCTCAGCAAATAGATGTTTTACCATGAAAAGTTTCATCATGGGGAAAAACATTTTAATGTTTTTATCAACTAGGAAGTGATTTAATTGCTCCATTTATTGGCAACATATTTTAGATTTGATCTTTTCCATCATTTTTCCATCTATTATAATCATTTAACTTTCTCCACTGATTGCAGGTGTGCATTTTTTATATTATTTTATCAATAGTTACTTCTTAGTTTTCTTTACATACATTCACTAATTTTCCTCGTTTTATTATCGATTAAACGAAGATAAAATCCTTTATGATCAACGTTTAACCTGCGATGCCAGAGTCAGGATGTCTGTAGAGCAGCAGAGCTTCTTCTATAACAAACCAGATTCTTTCTCAGGTTTATTCATAACATGTTTCTGTTTAATCAAAGCGTCTGTAATTAGTTTAGACTCTGATTAATTTAATTAATGAAGACGATCAGAACTGGTCTGATAACCGAGCAATAAGCAGCGTAGGATGAACTGATTTCTCTGCAAAGATGAAATAAAATGCAGCCTGACTGAAATGTTACGATCTGTTTATTTAACTGGAGGAAATAGTTACTATTACTACTGATACTTTTTTCCTACTACAGCATCATCATCTTCATCATCATCATCTTCCTTTTGAGGACCCAGTTTTTCCTGGAGAATTTCAGTTCTGACAAAGTTACCACTGGAACCCAGAATAAATCACAGGAAAGGGATTTAAAGTCCTGATTACTAACAGCTCTATGTGGATGAGAGACATAAGAGACATATGAGACATATGAGACATGTGAGACATGTGAGACGTAGTCGATGACGGAGGAGATTTGTGGCTTCCAGGTTGTTCGGCTGAGAAGAGGTTTGGAGTTTTCCTGTTGGGACAGATTCAGCTGTAGTGTTGGGTTGGTTCCAGCAGAGGGCGCTGAGTTATCACATTAAAATATGCTTCAGTATGAAGATAAAATGCTGTTATTTCTTCACCTTCTAAGTCATACGGTGCAAACTCTGCAGTATGGAGAATGTGTGGGTCTATTCACATTTTGAAGACAGCCAGAAGCTTCTAATATAGATATAGCAGCTTAGCGACCGCCTTCAGTAGCTGCCTCTGATAGGTTGGTCTGCAGAACGGGGTCCCACAGGGAACTGGAACCGTTCCTCTTCACCTCTGCAGACGTCTCCATCAGCTCCCCACGCCGCCTCCTCCAGACCTTCTCTGACCTTTCTGCCATAGTTGGCCTCATCACAGGTGGAGACGCTCAGAGGACAGACAGGGACCCAGAACTCTGTTCCAGCAGATTAATGATTAATGAGGGAAAACCAAGGAGCTAGAGGTGGACTTCCAGGGACGGACAGTGAGGTAGTGGACCCTACCTCAGTGTTCACCTGGAGAACAAACTGGACTGGACTCCCAACACTGAGGCTCTGGACTCAAAGCAGGAGGTGGGAAACAGACGGATCCCCTGCCCCCCATGCACCAGGGGGCGTTATCACAGATCCTTCCTCCCAGCAGCTGGAAGACTCTAGAACCACCACTGTTCCCAGTAACCTCAACCAGTTCTTCCATTCATGCTGATTCTGCTCAGTTTCTACCTTAGTCAGTTAAATAACCTGCTGCTGTCATTCTGCACACCTCTGATGTTACGCTTAAATACCCATTACTGGAAAATGTCCAAAGCTGGATATTGGTTATTTATTCTCCAGTTAAAAC